TATGTATCATGGACCCGAAGCTCAGTTTCATATCTTCCTGGTCGACCGATTTCACTCACTTCCGGTCCCATTGTATGCTTTTCTCCAAAGGTTATTTCTCAAGCCTTCATTAGCACGGACAAAGGCTAATGAATGCTTGAGAAATAATCCCTGTAGTGAAGAGTACACTGGGACGTGAACTGTGTGAAATAGGTAAATCAGGAAGATAAGAAGCGTAACTTTGGGCACCTGAGGCAAATCTGGATAAGAGGTACGAGCCAGATTAGTAAATCGAGAGAGAGTGGGGTGAAGCAAGCAATGGGTCTGATGACGCCACAGTGAACTTTCTAAAAACGGCACACCTGTTGAGCTGTAAAGTATAAGCAATTTCGAATTTTTGATAGGGCGGGATTGGGACAGAGGATAGGGAGTAGATAGATGGGCCAGAAGAGAATAAAGAGCGAAAGCACAACTTTTTGGGAAGAAAGTTGGCCAAGTAATCGACTTCCCTCGGCTCTTTGACGATTTGTAGCTTGGTATCATAAATGACAAGTCTCAGTGAGTATGCCGATTACGATGTCTGCACAATGTCTAGGAATATACCGAGTCCACTGTCCGAAGCTGAGAATTATGCTAACTAATATATTAGAGGATTTCGAACGAGGCGCGCTTAATTTTCTCTTCTTGATAACACTACTAAATTGCGCAAACGAGGTTGAACCACTTACAAATATTGTCCGTTTATCTTCTTTTGCTTACTAAACAAGTAAGATTATGGTATCAAAGCTAATTCTTAATTGTTATGTCATTTATAAATTAATAAGCTAAAGAATACCTTTCTTGACATTGTGATTGAGGTCGATTTTTCGGAAAGGCAGGCTTTTTCACATTGTCCACCGGGTTTATGATATCGAGACTTAGAATTATCGTCCAGGCAAGCATCAAATCCTGTAGATTGGCAGGCAACATTCTGTTCTTTAAAGGAAGAATTTTGCATCATTTCGAGATTCATGAGATTCACAGGTGAGGAAGATAAACAAGGTGATGCAGCTAGCATTAAGGAAGTGTTCTGGGTGATAAGTTCAGCAGGTTCAAAAGCAGATATTTTGTCGAAATCGCTCTTTACCTCCTTATCTTCTCTTGCAACACTTTCAACGGCTATTATCTGAGGATCTACATCCAATGAAAGCATATCAAGTGCCGGTGAGTCTCTCCTAACCATAACCAGCTGATCAACATACATAAAGAGTGGGCGATGGATAGACTGGCTTGGCTGAACTAAGTTAGTAATTAGTGGCGATAGTTCCACATTTCTTGGATCGTCTGGCATCTGAGCATCTTTTGGGGTTTCAGTAAGAAAAGCCTCAGGTCCGCCAAAATAGGAGGGAGTAATCTGTCTGAGCGAGAGTGTAGCAGGAAATGTTTGGCACAACGACACAGTATGGCTCGAGATGCTATCAGCTGCCATGGTATTGCTAACCGCGCCGGCAGATGCTATACACTGTGTGCCTGTCTGACCGGGAATGCTGTAGGAATTAATAAGGGATCCTGTCATATATCCAGGCGAATAGTCTTCGCCAAGAGAGCCAGAGCCGAGTAAAGGAATTAGCCTCAGGGTTTCAAGATTTGTTGAGGCATCACAACAATCCGTCTTTGGGCTACTGCTACTGGCTGTAGTTATTGTGGTCGTCATTCCGTTGAGGTTTATGTTCGAATTTATGAGGTAGGAAGAGGTGGACGGCATAATTTGGCAATGTTCC